TTTATGATGTGAGCTAGGAGATTGATGGGGGTGGTCTTAATAAGGGTCATTTTGTGATCTTTCATATAGTCTATCTGTGTTAAGTTGGTTGATGTTTAATCTGAATGTTTCGTGTTCTATCTCTTAAATAACGCCCTTAAGCTTCGTGTTTTTGGAATCAGTATTATTATATTTCCGAAACTTCATCTGACTCTTAAACACGAGAAGTTTAATCAACAATCTTCACGAAACTTTATTTGGTTCGTGGGGAATCATGAATCTTTATTTGATTCATTCTATCAAGAAAAAATCAATTATGAATATTTTCCAAAACTGACAGTTATTCGAAAGGTCTGCACTCCAACCGTCCGATGAAAAAGTGGAAGAGGATCGTGTGACCGAGAAAAATGGTCCACTACTCCATGATCACGCATGCCATTTCAGTTGAGAGGACAGGCATTAAATGCCCATACCTCCATACTTGAGTATTTTCTCTCTCCACATTAAATGCCGAATGATTCTTCTTGATCTGATATTTGGCTTATCAGATGAATTTCGACAGAATTTTACCACAAATGCAAAAAGTGGTCAAACATACCAAGGTCATATATGGGGTTTTCACCCACACACTTCTAATTCAAATTCCGGGTGGCCCATATTGAACACTCGACCCTGAGAAACTACCCATACACTATTTAACCTAGACTCACGCACTCATCAACCTCTTCCTGCTCTAATACGTTTCTCAGCATCATCTTCCTTGCAAGAAAACCCTTTCTCTACTCTCCATACTTCTTAAATTTCTCTGCCTCTCCATCTCTATCCCAATGGCTAAGAAAACCATATCAAAAGCCTCCAATACGGAGCCTGAAAACACCAACAAGGAAGAGTTGTCTCCCTACCCTATCTCAGACGAGCAGTTCATCCGATCAAGGGCATGGTCTGTGCTCTGTAGCTTCATGTGGGACGTTCATGGCTTCTGTGAACACGTTCTCAACAAAAAGTTTGGTGAAAAAGTCGTTGCTCTACTCAAAGATTGCGACCTATACAACTTCGTCACTCGCACTTACCAGTTCTTCTTTGCATTTGATGTCGCCCAATTTTATCTCCATGCAAAGGTTCCTCGGATTCCACAACCATTACTTCTATGGTGAATGGAAAGGATATATCTGTAACCAGTAAAGACATCCAAGAGGCCTTCAAGTTTTCAGAAAGAGATGATACGTATCACTCAAACTTCTCTCAGCACACCTTTGATGAACTGGCTTTTTACGAAAGCATTCGGAATGCACAATCCTCCGAGGAGATCGAATGGCCCTTGAGGAAAAAGTGTTTCAAACTCGATTATGAGTTTACAGTGGACATCTTCAACAAAATTGTGGAGCATAAAACCTCAGGGACGGATGATGTGTCAAAGGATAAACTGAAGATGCTCCATGCATTTCTGAATAGGTATAAGGTTGATTAGTTGAAAGTTGTCTTTGACTTTCTACGAATAAATGTGACTTCTGGAAAGACGCCGAAAGGAGATATAAGGCGAAAGATTGGTTTTGGGTTCATGATTGGACATCTTCTAACTCACAAGAAAGTTATTCTCAAAGAATGAACTCCTCCTGGTCCGAAAGTTTGTCACATGAAGTCCAAACCTCCTGGATATTAAAAACAACGAGCATTAGAGATGGGCTTTGTAACACCCCGAAATTTTTAAAACTTTTTAATCTTATAATATGGAAAGCAATTCTATTAATCAATCCTAAACAGAGCATTCTAAACATAAGGGTCTGGGGTGTTATGCCACATCTGAGATGGAGAACTCAGATGCACAGGCTATGCTAACTAATTATCCTCAAACAACGTCATTACATCATCAAGGCACGCAGGCCGAAAGGAAAGACTAACTATCTAAGCCGAGGTCCTCTAGCGCGCTCCGATAGCTAATCATCTGTGCCTGAAAGCCAAATATATCTATTCAGCGAATAATGTTGGTAACCCACTCCAACGCGTTAAAATACAATATAGGTATATATATATATAGATAGGAAAACCATTTTGAAGCACGAGGATATATACTTAGGAGACTCTAGCTTTAAAACCAGGAATAGACTCGACAAATAGGGATAAGCACATTCAACAGTATTAATCAAGCATATAAAGATATTATCACATATCTTAAGGTCACTGGTTAATTTCTCATCATTCATGTCATCTCTCAATCAACATCTTTATCACATAAGCACACTTTGGTGGCGCCACAGGACCAATCGCATGCCCATACATGAGGGTCAGCGCATATAGGGCTAACACGGCCCCGCTGCACCCTGCCTCATACCGCAGCATGAAGGGGTTGACCGCAGCCAACCGATGAACCGCAGCTCATGAAATCGTTGGCGAGCGCAACGGTGGACCACAGCCCTACACACCGTTGGCGAGCCCAATCGGTGGACCGTGTCCCAAAAAAATGTGTCACTAACCGCATACAGGATTATGAACCGCAGCTCATGTAAAACCGTTGGCGAGCCCAACGGTGGACTGCAGCCCTACACACTGTTGGCGAGCCCAATCGGTGGACCGCATCCCATGTAACACCAATTTGACCGTAGCCAATATTTGGGAGTCATGCACATATAACACATAGCAAGCACATGCAACCCATATTAACACATTGGGAAAGGGGAGAGAACGTATAATGAAACCTATGTGTGGTCATCCACATACTAGGAATAATCCTAAGGGGTTCATACATCTTTCACCTAGGTCAACGGGGTACCAATTCAACTAGCATACAATACACAAGACTCTTTTATCCTACGAACGGTACCCGAAACATCAAACTAGACTTAGGCACGATAAACGGAGTCCGTTGGGACACCATGAGGGTCGGGGAAACATCAAACGGGGAAGCCAACATCCCAAGGTGAGGGAAAAAACCAGCGGGTGGCCACCCGCCGGCTGCCCATCGACAACGAGAAACCGGGCAGCGGGTGCCCGGCGGGCAGTCGTTTGCCCGCCGGCTGCCCGCTGCCGGCGACGCCAAAATGGGCAGCGGGTAGGTGGCGGGTTCCCCTACCCCCCACTGACTCCCTTTCAATATTTGGGTCCCGGGATCTTTTGTGGAACCCGAAACCATGCTTAGACACTTTTAAACACGAACGATGACACCACGTAGTCAAATAATGGATCAAAACCAAGAATCATATTGAACATATCCTAACATGACTTCTAAACATAATCAGCACCCAAACACGCGAAATTCCACCAAAATATATCAAGAACATCACAATACGAAATTCCCAATTTAACCTAGGGCTCTAATCATATTTAAATCATTAAATCATACTTTATCTTTAAAATCAAGAACATCAAGATTTATGAAGAACAACACACAATTATCAAGAACCTCTTATAATCATCAAGATTATCAAGATCAACACATAAGATCATCTCATCAACATCAAGATCATATCATAATCATCATAAAAGATTTATCAAGACACAAGTATAGAATTGCATATCAAGGAGGCCAACGAAGAAGATTATAGCAAGGAAAATAGGTTTTGTTGAGACATGGGTTACCTCTTAGCCTTAATTAGATTCCTTGGCTATTAAGGTTCTTTCTCTAAGATCTTTTCTTCTTGATTCCTCCTACGTTGGTGATAAGAGAATTCTTATGAATTCTTGTGTGGTGATATCTATTGTGGTGTGAATTCTAGGTGCCTCCTATGTCCCTATTTATATATCTAAGAGTCCTAATTAGGGTCTGAATGGTATGGGTTTGCTAATTCTATTTCTTATAGGACTAGGGGATTGGTTTAGGGACAAGGGTCCACGGTCTATGGTGGACTCTTCCTAATTAATTAATGGAATTTAACTCTCTTTTTAGGGTAAGTAATTAAATAATTAATTGGTTTAGAGGTCGTAACACGGGGTGCTACAGGCTTGAATGTGGTAGTTTCAACTGATCAAGCCGAAAGGAAGTCCAAGCGAAAGAAGGTCTCGGATCCGGAAAGAAGAAACAAAAACGGGTGAGAAAGACCAAGACATCAACTGATGAAGTCTCTGCACTTGTCTCGGAGAAAGAAATGCCTCAAAAGGAAACAGTTTTGGCTTAAGCTACTTCTAAACCCTCAACAACAGAAGTGGCAAAAGATTCGAAAGGAGCAACAAAGAAGAGAACATTCGAAAAACGAGAAGTTGTCAAGAAGCCCTCCTCGAAAGTACAGCAAATAAGTAGTTCTTCATCTGAATCAACGCAAATTGAAGTAGAAAGTTCATAGCTTAGTCGAGCTGCACGGACCAAAGAAAGATTCAGGCCAACTATTAAAAAAGCACAGAAAGTACTACTCAGACTTGCTCCAAAACCCTCTGCTTCTGACAAACCGAAATCAAAGAAAATGACAGACTCTCTCCAGCATGATGCTCAGGGGGGAAGGAAATGAGCCAATCATCAAGAGTCAAACATCTTTCGCAAGCACTTGCTTTGGTCAGAAAGAACAAGAAGTCTCTTAAACGAAAGTCTACCAGAGCACTAGAAACCAGAAACATCCTTTCACAAGAACCTACTGTAGCAGAGCAGGTCGAAACGATTCTGACACAAAAACCTGCTATAGTAGATAAGGACAAAAGTTTGCCTCTCCCGCCAGCTGATCACTTAAGTCTCCCACAAGAACCTGGCTTTCCAGAAGAGACGAGAGAAGTGATCAACACGCAAACAAAAATTCCACCACCACATCAAGATCAAGTTCTTCAACAAGCAATCTCGAGTGACTATCAACGAGTGATGAGATGGTAGTAGTGGCGAACATCATCTCTCAATCAGTTTCTCAAAGAATTTAATGCAATGAAGAAATGAAGAAGAGTTTGCACTTTCATGGATTGGCACTCAGAATGTCTATGAGGCTACAAGGCTCGAAACTATCAATCGGGCCTACACATACAAGCTGACAAATCGCAATGTTGCGAATGGAAAAGCCCGATAAGTTTCGACATTAAGAAGCCTCCACTTGAAGGAGCTTAGGGAAGCAATGAGGTTATCCAATATCAAAACTGAGCTTGAAAAGTTGCATCAAAATGACCCCAATTATAGCACAAGCGCGATGAAAGATGATAAGCCAAGTGATAACATCCCTGAAGCAAACACAAATAAGACGAGAGAAAGAAAACAAGGTGAGAGCCAATAACAGAAGGAAGGAAACCAGGGGGATGAGAAAGAAGAAAATCAAGCAAAAAAGGAGAATGGAGATAAAGAAGAAGACAAAGAAAGAAATGACAATGAATCAGAGGAAGAGAAAGATGATGAAATAGGAGAAGACAAAGAAGATGAAGAAAGAGGTGATGACAGCACTCAGGACAACGATGATGATGACGAAAGTGATGAAAGTTCTGATGATGCTAATGATCCTGATAATGAAGGTGTTGTTGCTATATGGAACACTGGTGTGGAAACTGAAAGAAACTCTCAATCACACAATGGTCATCCCGAAACTTCACCTAGTGCTCAGAACAACCCTTTGAATGAGATGCACGACTCGAGTTCGAGATCAACTAATGATGGCAAAATGGATGCATCACCTAGTGTGAGACATGACAACTCCAATCCAAAGGATAGAGGTGCTCAAACTTCATATGCTATTGAGATATCACAACCTGAAGCAAGGGTGATTGTGTCATTCTTGAAACAACAGTGCGAGCAGTCTCGGTTAAGCTGTGAGTGGCTACAATCCAAACAGAAGAGCGACAATACGAAACTTGATGTCTTATCCAGAAACATGGATCAAGTTTTGGAACGATTGTCTACACTTCAACCAAGTCAAGATACTCCAGGGCTAAGTCAGCAAATTCAAACGATGAAGACAAAAGAAAAGCAGAAGGAGATCTTGACAGCAAACAAGGCAAAAGCAAACAAGATGAAATGAGTAATACAAGAACGACAATACGAAACTTGATGCCTTATCCAGAAACATGGATCAAGTTTTGGAACGATTGTCTACACTTCAACCAAGTTAAGATACTCCAGGGCTAAGTCAGCAAATTCAAACGATGAAGACAAAAGAAAAGGAGAAGGAGATCTTGACAGCAAACAAGGCGAAAGCAAACAAGATGAAATGAGTAATACAAGAACGCATAAATCTACACCTCCTCCTGCCCCCAAGTCGAGTCATCCTCCTCCTTCCAAATCTCGACAAAATTCCTTAAGGCCTCAACAATCCTATGGATCCAAATCTGCCTATTCATTTGTAGGATGAACTCAGAGAGAGAAGAAGAACCTTCGTCAAAGGTTGATGAGGGACAAGAATATGAAAATGGATGCCTCAGGAAACTTTCTTCAGTATAAGGAATATGAGGAAGGAAATCGAAAAAGATTTGAAGGATGCAACATGCCTACATGGCTGAAGAAAAGAGACAATGCAACAAGACAGGAATACCAAAGAAAGAAAAATGAGGAATAAAGAAAGCAAATGAAAAACTTTGGCTCAAACAAGAAGAAGACAGAAAACAGAGAGAACAAGACCTCATTCACTTTCAAGAAATAGAAGAGAAAATAAGGAATGTTTCCTCAGTTGAAAAAGATGATGATCCAAGCACAAAATACAATGTCGTGTTCAAAGTACACGAAGAATCAAGCAAAAGCTATGTGGAGGGAATGAACTCTATTGAGCTCGTGTCATGGTGGAATCTCGACATTGTACCAGGACGAAACATCTTAGAAGCCTACAACAATTACATGAGCTACAACCTGACAGAGAAATACGCAGAGTTGGCTTGATCCAATCCAGTCTGAACTTTCAGAAGCTTAATCAACAATGACCTGGATATCAAGAAATTGCTCAAAGAACAAAAAGATCGAGATGACAAAGAACAAGAGGAAGCACGTCAGCCAAGAAGAAACTTTTGAATATGTAATAACTTTTAATTTCATTATCTTTTGTAATGTGTTTGATCTGAATGAAATTCCTTTTGCTATCTATGTTGAGTATCTCTCTTGTTAAAACGTTCTAGAATTTTATTTTTTTTAACTCAACTATATGGTTGTTTTGTAATAAAAGTCCTTTAAAGGATATCCTTCAGCCTTATAGCAAGACTATAGGTTTTGGCATCATCAAAAAGGGGGAAATTGTTATGAATAAGTGTAATTAGATTTTGATGATACCAAACTTGCTAGGATTGTAGACCCCTATTTTCATTTTGTTTTAGAACTTTCGTTGCAAACGAAAGCCATTGTAACTCAACGTATGATTCACACTACGTAGTACACGAATCTTGATTGAGGATAGCATGATAGGTCTACTTGAAGACATGAAGACAAAGAGAAAGACGAGAGATCAACTCAGACCGATAGATGGAAGGGTCTAACTCTCGGACAATCATCAAATGACAAGGAAGGTCATTCTTCTAAAGAAAGGTCGAAAGATAAGGTCAATCTTTTGAAGTAACCTTTCCGAGACAACAAGTCTAAGTCAGATTTGTAAAGACAACTTTTATTAAGTGAAGCAAGAATAATGTTGTATATGTCTCATATCTGGGCAATCATCCTAGACAAAAGGTTCCCTGAGAATGATATTCACAAAAACCAATGAGTATTAAATGATTGGTACCTTCTTGTCAGCGAAAAGGATAAAAAGTCATGTTGCTTTTTATCATCAACGGCTACATAGTACAGCCGAATTAATTGCTCCATGCCCACTGGTTAATACCCGCTGGTTAATAGGTTCGAACCGCATTTTCCTCTAACAGATGAATTTTTCCTTCACCTATAAATACATCTCTTCACCATTGAAGAATGTGTTGATTGTTCAACAGATTTTATCCTTAGAAAAGCTATTTAAATAAGTTCATTCATAAGCTTTTCATAATCAGTGTGGTATGTTTGTGAAGTTTTCAAAGAGGTTCATCCTAAATCTATACTTCACAAACTTGAAGAAGTCTTGCATCTTTTCTCACGTGAAGATTCATCCAGTCAACAAGACAAGACTTCAACTTGTTGGAGAAACACAACATTATCTTTCCAACACTCAACTCTGAGGAAGAAGTTGATAGAGGTGGAGTAAACTCTAGGAGTTGAAAAACCTTCCAAGTAGCTGTCCGGCTTAGTGATCAAGGAAGCTAGCTTGAAGTAGTTTGTACTAGGAGTGATAGTGCAAACCCTTTCACAAGTTGTGAAAGAAGAGTGAAGTAGGCTTTGTTAACAGCCGAACCACTATAAAAATCTCTCTCTCTATCTCTCTTTACTTTTAGTTGATTATCTTTCGTGCATTGCATATCATACTGACTCAACGATATTCTCTCGTAACAAAACTGTGCAAAGTTCAAACTAAAACAATCTAGTTATACTGTTGTGCATCACGTACTCTGAAAGGAGTTGCTTTGAAAAATCAAGTAGCTAGAGTCTATTCAACCCCCCTCCCCCCTCTAGACTCTCATTTCGACCCTACCAGGACTAACAAAATGTACTTTGCAACACTGTAGATTGCAATTGTTAAATGTATAGAGTGCAATACAGTGCACTTTGCAACACTATACTATGAATTTTGGTCAGTAGAAAGTAAAGTGCACTTAGGGTTAACTTTATTGAGTTTACGACTTAGTTTTTTAGTTTGATTTACTAGTTCATTTTTATATATATGGTTACACTTCCGTGAAAATCACTTTCTAGGAGAGAATTAAGAAACAAACAAAGCTAGAAATGGAGTGGGGGAAAATGAACCAAAAAAGGAACAAATTTTCTATTTAAAATATATTATTACTCTCTAAAAAAAAAAAAAAAAAAAAAAAAAAAAAAAAAAACTTGAAATGGAGTGAGAAAAAAGTTCCTTTAATTATTTTTTTAACAACTAAACTGATTTGTAGTCGCTAACTACCATGTAGTATGATGGCATCCGGATTATCCATCTAAGTGAATGGTTAGAGGTTCGAACCCTAGTGGTGGGGGTTTAGATTCTTTGGGTTGAAAATATTTGGAAAATATAGAACAGATATTACCTTCTACATTACCTTCTAAAGAAAAAAAAAAAAAAACTGGTTTGTATTCACCAAAACAGAATAATAATTACTATTAATATAATAAAATAAATTCTAAAAGTCAAGTAAAATTATAATACTTAGTTTGCTATTAACAAAAGAAATATAATATAATTAATTACCTCATTATCTTCCTCATAACAATTGAGAATATGAAATACAACACATGGGTCCACCTCAAACCATGTTACTGAATCAGCATCACTCCAATTCTTGCAAACTCTTTCGAATCATATTTTATAAACCTAAAATGTTTGCACACAATATTCTATCATATGATTGCAGTATAATTCTCAAACAAATAATTACTCAGAGTAACAAGTTATCAATCTACAGGGAAGTGGGACGTATCAAGCATTAGTTATTGATATATTCATTAGAAGATAATCCTAACGAAGAAAGTGATTGATTAATTGTAAAACTAATTAAAAGAACAAAATAGCAAGTTTGTGAAAACAATAGAGGGAGAATGAGATTCCTGAGATTCAAGTATTTAATCACATAGTGTCAATCTTAAAAACAATATTAAATTTGGGTTTAAACAAGTGTGAGAATGCAAACAGGGAAAAAGTTACTCCAGTGATATAAACACTAAACAATGTAACAACAAGCATTTATAAATTCTCAACTACTACCATCTCCCGATGTGCAATAACTAAGAATTAAACTCCCTAACATATAATACTTTTGAGGAAAAATGTAATACTTTTAAATCGAAATGTAAAAGTATTACATTTTCCCTTAAAAGTATTACATTTTTCTTATAAGCAACAAAAAATTTATTCTTAATTAGTATTACATTTGAGCATATAAGTATAACATTTGTGCGTATAACTATTACATTTTCATATTGACACGGCCCGACCCGACCCGTCTCACGGTGAGACAATCTCACACAAGTTTTTGTCCACTTTAAAAAGGGAAATCACATTTGGATTTAGGTTACATTGTTCCTGCACTGTTTTTGGTAGACTCGATTATTGATCTCGTGTGACAAATTTCGCCTATGTAACTAGTTGAGTTATTTATGTGAATAATTTTTGTTTTTTACATGTCCTGATTTTATTGATAAAAGATAAATAGTACTACGTGAGTAAATGATTTTACATGTCCTGATAAATGATTTTTTAGATGATTCAAAACCACCTCACGTAAATAGTACTATACGTGAGTAAAAACAAAGTTGAAATTAAGAATATATGTAGGAAGATTGTCAAATCATAATAATAAAGGCAATTGCAGATGAGGGTTTGCCCCTTTTACGTATGTGTGTGCAAGAGAAATTTTTTTCGCAATATACTATGCGGTTTATATATTTTGGAATCAATTCATCATTTGTCCAAAGTGGCTGGCTTTAAAGTCTAAATTATCATTGCGGTTTTCCTTGTTTTTTTGAAAGGAGCCTGTACGGCATTTATTCAAAATATGCAGAAATAGATGCTGGTGGATTATAGTCCGAGTACATACTAGTTGACTGAGTAATTGTAGTAGATACTAGAGTATGAGCTAAATAATTATCTAGTCTAGGAACATAATGAAGTAAATAATAATCAAAAGATAACATACTAGTCCTGCAACTATCAATGGCATAACCCAAGTACGATCTTGACGAGTGTGTCATAGATGATAAATATTGTTGAAGCACCAAACAATCCGTGAAGAGCTCGATAGACTTTATTTCGCGACTTCTTAGCCACGACAAAACTTCCTTGCACGCAAAGGCCTCCGCCATTAGGGGCGAAAAACAGTCTATCATAGGGGCAGTCATAGCCGAAACATAATGTCCTTGCCAATTTAGAATAATGGCTCCCACCGCTGCTTTGTTTGTCTGTGGGTCGTACGCCGCATCGAAGTAACACTGATCCCTCATGTTTTGCGTGACTTGGTGTACCATGTT